AGAAGAAGAAGAAGAAGAAGAAGAAGAAGAAGAAGAAGAAGAAGAAGAAGAAGAAGATAATACTCTTCAACTGTCTTCTCTGTAAATAATCCTGAGCAAATACTGAAATTCAACAACTTTTTCAAAGATGCAATAAATAACTAGCTTAGCTAGGCTGACTATTGATTTTGTTTAAAAGATCTCTATGGATTGCTTTCTCTTGTTTCCCATCCATTTTGGCTCTCTCAATAAACCCTTTTGTTATATAGAGAGATTTATTACTACTAGTTCAACAAGGGAATTTCTCACTAAGACCATTGCTATGTGCAATGCTGCTCAGTTCCACAACTGCTGTTTCACCAATGGCACAAGGTTTCTTAATCTGCATTTTGGGTGAAAAAATCCAAAGCAACTTTGATATATATTTTTCTTTGACTGAAGAGAAATGTCCTGGCTAAAAGAGCTAAAAATGTTTCAGTTGGACAAACAAGAATGTGATAGAATATTCAGTATGACTGGTGTCATTCTGTCAAAAGTGTCTTGTACCAGGGAACCATAAAAATAGCCAGATACAAAGATGTTAATTTCCCCCAAAATCCAGTTTGTAACACATGCACTTTGATTTCCTTAGTTAAATAGTGTTCTGAGTAAGTTATATAGAGAATGCTAATAGAATCCCATGGCAAAAAAAAAGGCAGTATGCTATCATAGGTCTATTGACCAGTTAATTAGCTATTGCCTTTTTGATATTAAAATTCAAGAACTTTATTGTTTTATAAATGCGTAATGTAGTCTGGGGAAATAATAATCCACGTAGCTTCAGATGCAGAAGAGGAAAGCCAGAAGGGGCAGTTAAGAACAGCTCAAATTCCATACATATATCTTTTTTTTCTATATGTATTTTTCATATCTTTGAGACAGATATTTGAAGTCTGTGCTGTATGAACCAAAACCGCACTACAGTATTTACTTGAAATCTTTGCCTGGCCTGCATGGCCGGGCCTTTGAGTCAATGTTGACTTGTGGCAACTGCCTGGGCTGGTCCCTTAAAAAAAAATGTTGGTTTATTTGTTTGTTTTGAGTAAGATTTTGGAAGTGGTTTGGCATTGCCTGCTTCCCAGGGCTGAGAAAGACTGACAGACCCAAGGTCACCCAGCTGGCTTGTGCCAAAGGTGGAACTAGAACTCTAGTGTCCTGATGTCTTAATCCAGGGGTCCCCAAACTTGGCAACTTTAGGACTTGTGGACTTCAACTCCCAGAATTCTCCAGCCAGCTATGCTGGGAATTCTGGGAGTTGACATCCACAAGTCTTAAAGTTGCCAAATTTGGGGACCTCTGCCTTAATCACTCACCATACTGTCTATTTACTTGAAAATGGCTAATTAATTTAAAGGAGGCTGTTTTTCTAAATAGCATCTATAGGATTGTACTATGACTTGTTTTTAACTGTATTAACTTGCAATAGGACAGTTGAACTAGTTTCTACAAAGATTTGGAGCCTGCATTGTTAAAGGTTTATGGGGTTGCTTATATCAATTGGCTTTTCTTCTGAAGATACTTTTCAGAGAAGTTAGTTGAGGACATTACACAATCCTCAGATGCAGAAACAAACATATAATGACTGTAGATATGGATTTAGAAAAATATTTATGTTTTTCTTCCTTTTGTAGTCAATCATCACTGAA